ATGAGTTTTTGGTGATGCCTTTTGGGCTCACCAATGCCCCGACTACGTTCATGGATCTTATGAACCAGGTGTGCCGGCCGATGTTGGATCGGTCGGTGATCGTATTCATCGATGATATTTTGGTGTATTCGAGGTCCAGGGATCAGCATGAGGAACATTTGAGGGAGATTCTTGGGGTTTTGAGATCAGAGAGACTGTATGCCAAGTTCTCCAAGTGTGATTTCTGGTTAAGAGAGGTCCAATTCCTCGGGCATCTTGTTAACCAAAAAGGGAAATTGGTCGACCCGACCAAGATTGAGGTGGTGTTGAGGTGGGAGGTGCCGAGATCGCCCACCAAGATCAGGAGTTTTCTGGGTTTGGCTGGATATTATCGCAGGTTTATCAAGGACTTCTCCAAGATCGCCGTTCCACTTACTAGGATGACCCGGAAGGGTGTTACGTTTTCATGGGGACCGGAGCAGCAGTCCTCATTCAAGACGCTTCGTCAGAAATTGCGCGAGGCTCTGGTGCTTGCACTCCCGGAAAGAATGGAGGATTTTGTGGTGTACTGTGATGCCTCTATATCGGGTTTGGGGGCGGTGCTTATGCAGAGGGGTCATGTGATAGCGTATGCTTCGAGGCAGTTGAAGCCTCATGAGTCGAGATATCCCACCCACGACCTGGAATTGGGGGTTGTGGTGTTTGCCCTCAAGATCTGGCGACACTATTTGTATGGGGTTCGGTGTATGATATACATGGACCATAAGAGCTTGAAGTACTTGATGGATCAGCCAAATCTGAATATGCGACAGAGGAGGTGGTTGGATGTGGTGAAGGATTACGATTATGAGATCCCGTACCACCCGGGCAAGGCTAATGTGGTAGCCGACGCGTTGAGCCGTAGGGCGGAAAGCGCCCTGATCCGAGATAGTTGTATGAGATTGACGGTATTGACCCCGATTTTAGATATTATTCGAGGAGTTCAGGCAGAGGCTGCGAAGCCAGAACATCAGAAGAAGGAGCGGGTTGTAGGTCAGATATCAGGATTCGTCACGGATGGTCGAGGGCTTATGACTTTTCAGGGTCGGATTTGGGTACCGTTTGGGGGCGGTGCGCGTACTATTTTGATGGAGGAAGCACATCGATCGAAATTCTCGATTCATCCCGGTGCTACGAAAATGTATTTGGATCTAAGGAAGGAGTACTGGTGGCCCTGTATGAAAAGGGATGTCGCTTGGTTTGTCGAGAGGTGCTTGACTTGTCGGCAGGTCAAGGCCGAGCACCAGCGACCGCACGGTAAGCTGCAACCGCTAGATATTCCCGAATGGAAGTGGGAACAAATTACTATGGATTTCATCACCAAGTTACCGCGAACTGCGAGGGGAGTCGATGCGATTTGGGTGATCGTGGATAGATTGACGAAGAGCGCTCATTTTCTAGCCATCAGTGAGAGCTCTTATGCGGAGAAGTTGGCGGAGTGATATGTGAGGGAGGTAGTATTGCGGCATGGAGTGCCGATCTCGATTACTTCAGACCGTGATGTGCGTTTCACTTCCAGGTTCTGGAAGAAGTTTCATGAGGAGTTGGGTACTAGGCTGCATTTTAGTACCACATATCATCCCCAGACAGACGGTCAGAGTGAGCGGACGATTTAGACGCTCGAGGACATGCTCCAGGCATGTGTGTTGGATTTCGGGGGTAGCTGGGATGCATATTTACCCTTGGTAGAGTTTTCCTACAACAACAACCATCATTCGAGCATTGGTATGCCACCCTTTGAGCTGTTGTATGGGCGGAGGTGTCGCACCCCCATCTGTTGGGGTGAGGTAGGGCAGCGGGTTATGGGTAGCACGGAGATCGTACTCCAGACGACCAAGAAAATTCGGCTGGTCAGGTAGAGGTTGTTGACCGCTCAGAGTCGACAGAAGAGTTATGCAGACAGACGCCGGTCCGAGCTTGAGTTTCAGGTTGGTGATCTTGTGCTCCTGAAGGTCTCTCCTTGGAAAGGAGTGATTCGATTCAGGAAGAGGGGCAAGTTGGGGCCCCGATATATTGGTCCTTTCCGTGTGATCGCGAGGGTGGGCCGGGTAGCCTACCATTTAGACTTGCCAGCAGAGTTGGGGCAGATTCACGACACTTTCCATGTGTCACAGTTGAGGAAGTGTATAGCCGACGAATCGGCAGTGGTTCCATTAGGGGATATTCAGGTAGATGCGAGCATGAATTATGCTGAGAGACTGGTAGCCATCAGAGATCGGAAGATCAAGGTTTTTAGGAACAAGGAGGTACCACTGGTGTTGGTTCAGTGGCAACATCGGAAGGGATCAGAGATGACCTGGGAGTTGGAGCGTGAGACGCGTGAGCAGCATCCGGAGCTATTTGCATAGCGAGACTTCGAGGGCGAAGTCGTGTTCTAGTGGGGGATAATTGTAACAGCCCGGATCTCCAGGTATCTTTAATTTCATATTTTTGGTATTTTGTGAGGGGACTCGGCGAGTTGGAGGTCGAACTCGCCGAGTCGGGTCGCAGTTTTGGACGAAGGTTCGCGTCTGGACTCGGCGAGTCCAAGGGATGGACTCGGCGAGTCCGCGCTGTTTAATGAAACCCTAATTTTCCGGTCCTAAGCCCTATTTAAAGGACCTTATGGCCCTTCATTGCGGCCACCTTGAGCCTTGAGTGCACCAAAGCAGCTGAGAGTCCTTGTGAGTGAGATAAGAGGCTATTTGTTCACCAATTTGTGTGTTATTGCAAGAAAGGAAGGAGAAGATCAAGCTAGAAGAGTTGGGGAGCTTGGATTTTGCTTCTATTTCTTCAAGGGAAGCTTCTTGAGGTAACTTTCAGAGCTAATCTTCGTGTTTTGGTTGATATGTCAAATCTAGGGTTTCTTCTTGCCTTATTTGACTTGTATTTGAAGTATGAAAGGTCCCATGGAGATATGGAACCTAGATATGGACCTTAGCAGGTCCAGAAGGCCCCAAATGATATGCTTTATGCCCCATTCTTTTGAGTTGGAAACTAGGGTTGCCATATTAGAGGTTATTTCCCCAAAAAGAGCCTTGTAAGTGTTTCATGGCGGCCAAGACTGAGACTTTATGTGATAAATGAGCATGGGAAGGCCAGATCTATGTGTGTATGGAACGGATCTGATCGCAGAAGCAAGTTTTAGCTGATGCATGGCATGGACTCGCCGAGTCTGAAGAACAGACTCAACGAGTAGCTTGAAGATTGTCCTTAAAACCACCCAATGAGTAGTCCTGCCGAGTTGTGGGTGACTCAGTGAGTCACAGAGAGTTAGAGAGGTATTGACAGGTGGACCGAGTCGAGTTGGGACTCGCCGAGTTGTCCTTGCGACTCGGCGAGTTGAGTCGCGGTGGCCCCGTGATTCATGACCAGGTGGAACTTGTCGAGTCAGGGGAGTACTCGACGTGTCAAAGGGAAAATCCTTGCGAGTTGGTGAAAACGCGTAGACTCGCCGAGTCGCTCTAGTGCACTCGCCGAGTCCGGTCAAATTGACCAATGACTGTTGACCAAAGTTGACCAGTGTTGACTTGATAGGGATGGTCAACCTTAGTGGTACAAGTATTAATTATAGATATATGATGTTATAGGAGGATTATAGCTCGGGGGTTCAAGCACGAGTGATTTCTAGGGTTCATGAGTTATCAAGATATACGAGGTGAGTCTTCTCACTATACTGCACCCGGAAGGGTTTGACTGTGTGACAGGAAGGTCGGATATGCTATGAGATATATGTGTTATGTGTGATAAGTTATTCATTATATGTGCCATGTATGATATGCTTGATATGAGCCGGAAGGCATTATGTTATGGGCCGAAAGGCGTTGTAAAATGGACCGTAAGGTTGTAGTGGGTAGGACCGGAAGGTTTACCCAGACGGGACGGAAGTCCCCTGAGATACATGGACCGGAAGGTCAGGGCCTGGAAAGGCGTATGTGCGTAGGTTGTATTTTGGGGAACTCACTAAGCATTTATGCTTACAGTTGTTGTGTTGTGTTTCAGGTACTAGTGAGGACCGTGGGAAGGTGCCGGCGTGATCGTACACACACTCGGGGATAACTATTTTGTGATCCTTGTTATGTAATCGGTCGTGACAATATTGTTTACATTGGAACTTAAATTATTACTCGATGTTTTGATGTTTGTAAAAATGAAAAATTAGTTTAAAATTTACGTCGTTACATTTGACAAATGATTTAATTAATTAAAAGGCATTATAGATGTAAAGGGGTTAAACAATAGTAATCATAATAATTAAACTAAATCAATTTATTACAAATAATTAAATATAAAAGGTCCAAAGGGTAATTAAGTCACTTTGAAAACTTATTATGTTCAAGGAATTAGGTTAGGGAAAAAACTGTCAAAAGACCCAAACCTTAGGGACCTTTCATGCCAATTTCAGAAACGTATTCCTCTTGTTCCCTGATATGTAACATCGTGCGGAGGGGGACCTCCAAACCTTAAGCTACAACGAAATTTTCCATAAGAGCAAACCCTAGTTTCGTTATGTTTGTGTGCATTGTGTGCGTCTGGTAAGTTAGAAGGGAGGGATTTGAGTTCGAGAGAGAAAAGGAGAAGGTGAATGGAGGCTGCCACCGTCAAAATCTCGCTGGAGGTCTCTAGAAACCGCCAATCGGCGTCGTCGGAGACCCGTCAGAGGAATTTAGTTGACGGAAAACATGCAGCGACGACGGACAAGGTGGTTGTTGTGTGCTTGGAATGTTTGGTTTAGGCGGGAAACCTCTTTTCTCTCATTCTATCTCTTTTTCCTCTTGATTCCTTATTGAGAGCCACCACCACCATCGTCGGCGGTCTTGGTTGTCGACACTCACTCCATCGCCACCGCACGTCGCCGTGGGTTGTGTTTTGCGTCCTAACTAGTTCTTGAAGTTGAAGCAATAAAATATTTATTTTTCTTTTTCCAGGTAAAGAAGAGGAAGCTCAGAGTTGTTGCTGCGATGCTTTGAGGTGATTAACTCTTTCCGGCGAACTCAATGTGAATGGATACCCCCAAGTTTATTGGTAGAGCTCATTTTATCTGGCCATTTCACTATAGTTGTATATTTATCATATTGTATTATGTGTCACAGTGAGGAGTTCTATAGAAGCAAGTTCAATTCCATGATTGATGTAGTCATGTAGATTTTGATAAGGATGAGCATCGGAAGCGGGTACCTGCATTCGCAAGGTTCCTAAAGTCTAGGAACTGCTTTAAGTGGTTCTGGTTCCAATTCTTATTTTTATGAAACCGATACCCGATGGTCCGGTTCCAATACCGGGTACCCGAAACCGACGGTTAACCGGAACCAGTACTGACGGCATTTTTCTAAAAAAAATTATATATTTAATTATTTATATATTGATGATTTTTTGGTTAAAAATGAAAATAACTTTCAAGTATTTTTTCTAATTATGGGACATTGGGACTACTTAAGTCGTTTTTAGGGTTTTGTGATTCATAACGCCGACACCAATTCTTCCCTTCACAGCTTCCCTCTCGGCTTCTACTCGCCACTCTCGCATATCAGAGTATCATACCTGTCTTCTTCTTCGGCTGTCGGTGGAGTGTTGTTGCCACCAGACATGATGGCAGCAAGAGGAGTGTCGATTGGAATGAAGAACGAGAGGGAAAGCAGTAGCAGCAGGCAACAGAAGTAGGTGGAAGAAGCAAGTTGTGAAGCTCATGTCACTCATCACTCCATATCAGAGTATCATACCACAACGATTACAAGTACGTGAACCTCCATTCGAGTTTAATCGCTAATTATCTCGTCAAATCGTAACCCAGGCTGTTCAATCGCCGCTCATCTTTGTTCAGTCAGTCGCTTCTTTTCAATTGTAGACCATTCTCGCTCAATCGAAGGTTCAATATGCGACAACAAGTCTTTATCAGGTGTGATTCTTACTGTTATGTAAATGTGAAGTTAGTTTTGTAGATTCTTTAAATTCTGTTACATAATATGTAAATATGCGAAGTTTTATTCTGTTACTTAAAATTTCGAGTATTGAATTCGTTATTGTTTTAATATATCATTGATCCATGGTTATGTTCTATAGGAGGTTTGTATACACTGATTTGAAACACTAAAATCCATAAGCTTTTTCACGTAAATTCTATTTAAATTTTCACATAAATAAAATTTCTTTTTATTTAATATATATCCCCATAAATAAGTTGCAGTTAAAGTTTCTGTCTGTAACATTGTCATGTTACCTTTTCTAACATATAAAGATGATGCTTTTTTTATTTAGAAAAAAGTATGGGGTGAAACAAACACGTGGAAACTTCGGGGTTGGTGGTGCAAAAATGTTATATATTTGTTTGTTTTCTTTCAATGTATCTTTTATATTTCATATGATGATGTATATTTGTGTCTTCCAGGTATCAATATGGTCAAAGATGAGTAGAGGAGTATACTACTCATCAATGAAGAATGAAAATTAAGCTATGCATTCTGGATGTAGACATTGATAGGAATAAAAGGGTGCTGAATTAAATATATATATATATATATATATATATATATATATATATATATATTTGACATGTGCTATTGGTCTTTGATTGAATTTTTTGATGATTAGAAACATTCCCCATATCCATTTACATGAAAAGATATGTGACATGGAGAATTAGCATGGAGTTGAGATCAAAGTTGTAATTGAGGGAAACTGGACAACATATGGTGTATGTAAATCGTGTATCATTTTTGTTCAAGTTTTATCATGTAAAATTATCTCTTAAATTAACATATGTATATGATATATGTTTGTAGTCAGAGATATTGGAGTATATGCGCCAAATGGCAGTTATTACTTATGCAGAATTCAAGCTTCGATTTGTTGCTGTTACACAGAGTGAGTAGAGTTTTTTTTTTTTTTAAATAAAATTTCATGAAAAAATCTTGTTTGTTGATTAATGTTTGATTTGTAGTGAAAATGGTGTGGTGAAAAAAAGTTATCCAAGATTGACAGGAAATCTAGTTCCTGTAGAAACAAAGTACCATGCATCAGCTGTGGATTTGCTGCGTATCATACAACGCTTGATTGGTCAAACTAAAAATCAGAATCTTATGGAGTTTCTTCAGCATGAATTTGTTAACAATTAATATCCTGAAGGCCCAAGCTAAAAGATTAATCAGTATAAAACAATGTTACTACATACTCACTTGTTTTTTAAAAATTAATATTTATCATGATGATATTGTACTTTTACAGGAAAAATGGGTCTCGATGTCACCTCCAAAACACAAGTCAACTCTTTGACTCTCCCACAAATTGCTTACATGCATCAGTTGTTTCAACATACAAAATTTGATGATCCTAGTGGCAATGTATGATCTGTTTCCTCCTCTAAACATATATCTATGTAATAGCCTACCATTAAACTCATAAAAATAACTTAATGCTTCTTTCTAATGTCTTGCACCTTTAGTAGAGGACTAATTTGGCGAGAGTATATATATATATATATATATATATATATATATATATATACACACACACACACACATATATAAGGTGCTGCAGCTGAACATGGTTGCAACATATATTGCAAAAAGGTAAAAATCAATCCTTATCTAAAATATACTTATACTAACTTCATCAACCATGTATTAAAAATGGCTATTTTAGTGGTCCAACTATATCAAGGACACCCGTTTTTCAATTCAACTTTCTTCCTTCTTGAGTACTAAGAATATTCGTCACAGTTATCTACTCATAAATTAGAATCTTGTTTGATATGTAAAATAATGGCCTAAGCATACCAAGAAATCAGATTTAGTCATAAATATATAATGTGTGATGAATTTACTGGCAGAAGCCAATGGTCAGCATGCCTTATCATGTGTGGTATGATATTGAGATTTGCTTAATGTCATGTTACATTGGTATGAATCAAGTTGGGATCAAAATATAGTTTATAAAACATACATAACTTACTTTAAGTTTTTTTACCTAACTACTCTCATAATGTTTTTATTTTATTACAATGTCATTGTTATGCAAGAAATAAAACGTCAACTGTAGATTCAAAGTCAACTGTTACTTTTTATGTTGGCGAATTTCACACTCTCGAACCAGGTTAGTCGCATCTTTTCCAATTCCCCCATAACAAGTCCAAAATAACAATAAGGTATTTCAAAACCAAATGTCAAATTTTATAGGGAATATTCAAAGTCCATAACCCTTTTCAATAACATAGGACTTACATGATTGGTAGAATTTTCGAGAGAAAGCTTATTGGGCTTAGTTGTGCTTAACGTGGGCTAAGTTGTGCTTAACACGACTCTTTTTGTGTCCTTTACTTAAATATATAATAAACACATAACTCCATAATGTTTTTTTGTTTTTTTGAATATCCACACATATTAATTTAAACACTTCAAAAGCTAATATAATTGAAGTTAACCTATCATTGAATACAATATTTGTTGGTACTAATTCTTTCATGTATTCTTAGTTCATAACATTTCTACACCACTTGTAAACTTACATTTTTATAACATTCATAAATGTGATTGCTATAAAATGTAATTTTGCAAAGGTTTTGAAAACCACACTGGTAAAATAAGCTCATAGGTCATTTGCAAGTTACAGTTATAATAAATATTTATAATAATCAACAATTATAATTGATTATAAATATTGAAAACAATCATTAAAAAAGTTATATTGTTTTCATTTCACCATTTACCAACAACATGTCCCTACCTCTCATCTTAAACAAAAAAACATACATACACATAATATAAAATTTCTTATTAAGTAACAAACTCGACACAATAAAATTCTTTTTATTAGAAAAAAGGAAACTTAACCAATCTTAAACACAATTGAAATCCTATAGTTTTTTTGGTAGGTAGATTTCAGTTAAATAGTTCATTGTAAAACAAGTCACAACTTGAATTTCTGCTTTCTCATTCGTCTCCAACATCGTCCTCAATTCTTCAGCCCATTCAATATTACTATTCACACATTCGTATTCTACTAGATTTTCGACCATCTTAATATCACGCAATGTTATTTGGATTCGAACATCTTCGGGGAGATTAAACTTGCTTATTTGAGAAGGTTTAATACCTAACCATTTGACATTTGGTGTGGTTAGGTGACTATTTTCATAAGATAAATTCATTGACCTTGAAACTTATATATATAGACATTATTTGAATTCCATATGGATCACAGTCCATCAAGGGCAAAATAGGTAATTCTAGTTTAATTTTCAACTTTTGTAGAAAAAGTCGGGTGAAAACATTCGATTATCATCCAACAGTTAAAATTATTCATGGAAAACGATTATAGAATTTTCCATGGCCAAAAGAGAAAAGATTGCATCTTTTTCAACCAAAATATGAAAGAGATGCTTTAAAATGCATAATTTCAACATTTTCCATGTCGTGAGAGATTGCTTTTCCCTGATTTACATTGTTTTGTACAATCAAAAGTATGACCATCTTTAAAAATAAGATTTCCAATGACAACTCCTTTATCACTAGTAAATATATTGAAAAAGGTTCTCGTGCAATTGAGCATACAAGCAATATGTTCAATGACGGCATCGGAAATGACCTTAAACTTGACATTCATGTATAAAAAGTCTCTTTTGGTCATTGAAACGTATTGTGATAAAGCTATCCCGATGATTAACAGTATGTAAGATGTCATTATAGCTATTCAAGATGTTTTTGGTTGTCAAAACGTTGTTGATAGACGTTCTCCTTAAGAAGGATCTGATCGTACTTCTTAATATAGATCTGGTAACTGATTTGTGAGAGGGTATACTAAAGTAATAGCTGTGCCCCTTGACATTCTCTTCATAGTTGAGTGCTTTTATCAGTTTATGATTTATGACCGCTTCAGGCTTTAACGCAGTAGTTTGACAGAAGCTGTAATTATAACCAAGATCCGAGAGCGAACGCTTTGAAACTTGCTTTCACAAAAACAGATTTGAAATAGGAAGCTCAAATACGTCTCAATCTGGAATCCCGAGCTAAAGTTATTAGGTCAGCTTCGCCATCTCCGAAGCGTTGTCTTTCGGATCTTGGTCATAATTATAACTTCTGTCGAGCTACTGTGTTAAAGCTTGAAACTGTCATAAGAGCTATAAAAGCACTCAAATATAAGGGTAATGTCAATGAACACAACTACTACCTTAGCATTCTCTCTTGCAGGTCAATTAACCAAATCTATATTAAGGAGTACGATCAGATCTTTATTAAGGAGAATGTCTATAACCAATGTTTTGGTAATCCAAAAACGTCTCGGAGGACTATAATTACATCTTGCATACTATCAATCATAGGGATGACTTTATCATAAAATGTTTCAATGACCAAAGGATGTTTTCTACATTAATCTAAGTTGTTTAAGGTCATTTTCGATGCTGTCATTGAAAATATTGTTTGTATGCTCAATTGCACGAGAACTTTTTTGAATATATTTGTTGCTGATAAAAGAGTTGTCATTGGAAATCTTATTTTTAAGGAAAATGATAATACATTTGATTGTACAAAAAAATGTAAAGGGGGAAAGCAATACCTCATGACATGAAAAATGTTGAAATTGTGAATTTTAAGGCATCTTTTATACTTTTGGTTAAAAAAAATGCAATTTTTTTCTCTTTTTGATCACGAAAAATTACATAACCGTTTTCTATGCATAATTTTAACCGATAGAGGGCAGTCGGATGTTGTCACCCGACTTTTTCTACGAAAGTTGAAAATGAAATTAGGGTTACCTGTTTTGGCTTTTGATAGACTGCGATCCATATGGAATTTAGATGATGTCTGTATGTTTCAGGGTCAAGGAATTTTGTTTTATGAAATTTGTCACCTAACCATACAAGATATCAAATGGTTATGTAATAAACATTCGCATATAAGAAAGTTTAATCTGTCCGAAGATG